GTTTGAGACTTGTTGGAGGATGATCCCAGTGCGTAAAATAGGTGGCGCTGGTATCGAATACGACGTTCTTGGCGTATGAAGGAAAAACTGCTCTCGCCTAACGAATATCAACACCGGTGCGGTGCGACAGACCTGAAAGTTTATCATTCATCCGTGTGGCAAGGAAAAACTTTGTCTCAATTGATTCCAAGAGATTTACCCCATCGATGACACACCCCAATGTGTGTTGTGTCTGACTTGGTGATGGGCTGATGTGTAGGAGTCCAAGGTTTCTTTTGTTTGAGTGCTTTATGCTTGTTGAATTTTCTAATGTTATTTTGTTGTTGAATTCCTTTGCTTTGTTTTGTGTTAAACATGCTGTGGAAGGGAGGTGCAAAGTGCACCATCAAATTATTAGTGCCACTGAATTTTTATTCTCATCACACTGCTATGAAGTTGCTATGCCTTAATGTAGTCTTGCTTCATTTAAATGGCCCAAGATGTTAAAAACAAAACAGTTTTGTTAGGTTACGTTCATATCAGCTTGAAATAGATGTCTTTGTTTGCTGAAACATCAGCCACTAGCTCATAATTTTCATCTTTTGTAAATTGAATTTTTAATTCCCGACTCTCTTTTTGCGATGGAATTTTTCACTCCCACCCTAGTTCAGAAGAGATTCTAGCTCACAGGCCAAACGAGCCGAGCGAAATTGCCACCTTACCACTCACTTGTAGTATTTCAAACTCGCCAAGAGATGGCAGTTCTGTGCTGGAAGTGTTCGCGGAATCAAATATTGGTATGTGCTCGCATTTTGTCCCTTTTTGTGGTGTACTTGTATCTTTATCTGGTAGTTTAACAGGTCTACTTTTATCAACATTTTTGGCAATTGCCGCTTTATGTTATTCGATAACAAATCTTTTTTCCGTAATGACCAGCAAGTACGCCCAACTTCTTATGCTACCTAGCACAAAACGTCTTTCGTGATTGCAACGTGCGCAGCTTACTTGGCATTGATTGGGAGTCAACTAGCTTTCACTATGATTGGTAGTCGCGCCCACGCACACCAGATCTAAGCTACTCCGACGAATATATTCTACTTGGCGTTCAACGCTACACAGCCAATGGGGTGGCAGAATTTGAATGGCGTTGCTATGAGTACAGCGGCGACCAATTTGTTTGTACGCTTGTGTGTATGTGTGTGTGTGTGTGTGTGTGTGTGTGTGTGTGTGTGTGTGTGTGTGTGTGTGTGTGTGTGTGTGTGTGTGTGTGTGTGTGTGTGTGTGTGTGTGTGTGTGTGTGTGTGTGTGTGTGTGTGTGTGTGTGTGTGTGTGTGTGTGTGTGTGTGTGTGTGTGTGTGTGTGTGTGTGTGTGTGTGTGTGTAGGTGTGTGCGTGTGTGCGTGTGTGTGTGTGCAGCCATGGATCTGTAGCAGAAATCTGCGGTGAAATGGCCCGAACTTTCTGCCGTTAGGTGGAAACCTTTGACCTTTGTAAGGAGGTGAGAGGTGGGACAAGACTACGGCCATCTGGGTGTCCCTAACACCGAGACTGACCATGGACATGGACACTTTTTACGGCGCCTCTCGGGCGGGCTCCGGCGGACTCCGTCTGTTCTCGGGCGGGGCTTCCTCCTGGGTGGCATTCAACCGGTTCGTGACTGACGACCGTACCTAACCCGGAGACACGGACCGTTGCGAAGATTCAAGATGAAGTGGTGAGGAAGGACAGAAGGGCGGAGCCTACGTGCGGTCAGTTGGCAGGGAGCAATGTACTGTCGGGTGGAAAAGACTGCAGTCTAGACAGGCACCTGTCCAAGTGCCTGAGGTTGACACAGTGATCAAAACCCGCATTAAAGCAAATGTTTGCTTATCACCAAGGCCTGGTGCGAGGCAGCAAGGTTGACCAGCACTGTTGTGGTGCAGTAAAAGTCGTTCCCATAACAGAGTGGAGGCGGCACGGCGCACCATTACAGATGAGATACAGTCCGTTTTGCGGCCTTCTGAAGCCGCTGTTTATAAACTCGTGTTGCATTCGTGTTACAGAATATTTTGGCAAACACTCGTAGGGCGGCTCACTAAGAACTTTGAATGTGAAAATGAGCATTCAAGAAATGAACGTTCAAGTCGCAGTGTAAAACAGTTCTAACGCCGAAGGCCGAAAACTACGGTAGCCTTAATTTCTGGTTGTTTTCTGGTTTAACTCTGTGGCGCGGCGGTACAGGCCGGACGACAGGCGTTATGCCTAGTGACGTTGCACATTTCAGGCGCGTATTGGCTCCATGATGGCTGTCGATGCAGGTATCTCTTGGACAAGGGGTCGTAAGACTTTCCGATGGCAAAGTTGTGATCTGGTAGCTGTGCCTCTACAGATCTATTGCATGAAGATAACGAAAGAATAAGCCAGCGTCCCCTTTTGTTAGCTAAAATGCCAGCGATCCTCCAGAACGTTCTTCACTCTTACTAGCTGCAAAAGTATGCCGCGTTATAACGTGTAACCGGTTTAGATCAGTCCGGGAACCAAAACGCTTCCCGTGAACTCCATGCATACCGTATTAAAGCATATCAACCGAAGCCAAAACAAAGGGCTGAGCCAATCCATCTCGGTCGGGTCAAACCACTAACCAGCAAACCTCCGTACGGGCTTGCGCCAACGCCGCGTAGATCAGTCAGGGTTATTTTAGGCAAAAGAGAGAGAGATGCCTAACGGTAAGTTTAAGGTTTCCGCACCGGTCTTACCACTCCTCTTACGTTTTACATTTATGAAGTCTGCGTGCTAACATAATTGCGACCTACCTCCATCACCTTCCATCTTCATCAACTATGCCGACGCAATGCCAGACTCACTGCCTCACACTTCAAGACGGTCGCGCAGTAATGGGCTAACTGCCAGGCTTGTGAAACGCACAGACACTGACACAGATCGCACGGGTTGTCGTTGTCGGATGATGCCAGCTGCCATGTGCTAACACCATTCGTAATTCAGGCAAGCGATTAACCGATCTGCAAGACGCCCATGGCTACTTATCCATTTAGCTGATCCACGAGAAGAGTAAGTTGACAGACGCGGTGAAGGCGAGGGGCTGAAAGCAAAACCTCAATGATTTCGAAACAATTTTTTACAGATTCAATCGGCAGTTAGATACCAACTCGCGAAGACATAGAAAGGGCAGGCGGGTACATAACAGGCGTATATAATAAGGCAACGACCTAACGCATCTTTGCCCAACCGGTTACATACGTAACAGGTTGAACGTAATTACTTTGACTGTGAAAGGCGAAATGTCCCTGAACTACATCGACCTTCTTAACCCCCACCCCCCTGCCCTGCACGGCAGGACAAGGCTTCTAAGGTTGTGAGGTTTACCACTTTTGCAAGCATGTTTACAAATAACTCTCAACTTAAAATGAATGCAATCCAGGAGAGCTCAGTCAGATAGCAGCGTGTTTCAGAAGAGGACCAAGGACAGACCAACAACGGGAGACCGCAGTGAAATGGTCGGAACACTGGCGTTTATGTCAACACGCCCTAGGGTGGGGGGACAAATTGCCTCCCCCCCCCGCCAAGGTTTTTCTGGAATGGTTTCCGAACGGCGCAGAGTAGCCGCGCCAAGTTTTGTCTAGTTGCAGTTAGTTGATGAGCGGGTTGTTCTGTATCACAAATTTAGAAGCACCTTGTAAGGTCGCTGACCTATGGCAGGTCAAAGTCAGGCTATGCGGCGGAGGTATTTCGATTTTTCTAAATTTTCGATTAATTTTCCTCCTAATATAATATATTGATATATAATATATAACAAACTAATAAAATTTAAAATGTTATTAATTTCAGCGGAGGCAATTTCCAGGGAATCGCTCCATCTGATGCAACAACGGATTGCTAGACGAAGCCATACATCTCTAACATACTTTCTTAGGCAGCACAACAATTGAATGAACAAATCATATTGACTTAAGTTCAGGTATGAAGGTCAGATCCAGGTCAAAATCAACCTGCTTTATTACTCTTGGGCTTGTGGAATGGGATAGTTTCTGGTGTTCATTTCAAATTGATAGTAGGAACCGCATTGTGCATCTTTCATGGGCTTCTCCGAGGTCAGAACAGGTCATTGACCCAAACTGACCGATGCCAGCATTTTGTGTTTAGGAACATGCTGTCTAGCGTGATCTTTGACGCTTAGTCAAATACAAAACTCAAAAGCAGTGTTCTATGATTTTGGTCACCATGACTTCCAAAAGGTCACACGAGGTCACTGACCTTAAATGAGCATGCGATCTTTTGCTTAGAACAGTTATCTAGGTTCAGGAGCACCTTGGAAACTGACTCGGAATTTGACCTTGTTTGACTATTTGACCCAAAAGTCATGACCTAAGAGCCTCAAACTTGACCCAAGTGAGTTCACGTACCGGTTAACATACCCTGTGAATTTGGTGTCTCTAGCTCCCTTAGTTCCTGAGATTTCGGGGGGTCAAATTGACCCCACACCTGAGCGAAGGGTATATCCAACCGGCCACCCGGGCGCGTGTTAAGCCTTTGTAGTTGTCGGACATCGCTGCACTCATTCACCACCTCCTCCTCAGGGCAGTGAGGAGGTTTCTAATAAGTGCATTTAAGCCAGCGGTTTTATGGGCCTCCATGTTCGATTTTTTGACGCAAGACGAAAATTGTGACATGTACGTGTCACAGCGGCAGATAACACAATTGTTCTGAGCTACGATACTGCTTTAGTTTTGCTGTGAAGTTGAATTTCTGAATTTGTACGGTTCCATAACAGAGCTGGTCTGTAACTGAGCAGGCTTATCAGGAACGGCAGGCAATCCCATTTTCACAACAATATGACGCAAAACGATGTGATTCGATGTTATCTTGGTTTATTTCTATCAACACGCATGATGCAACGTTACAAACAGGTCGTGGATTGGATGGCGTTTTGACGATTGGCGGAAGACGCGTTCGGAAGGTAACCGTCCACTTTCGCTGTCCAGATTCAGCTTCCTCGCGTCAGCCACCAACCCGGATCGAGAGCGTCTAGAAGGGGATAGCGTCTGACGTAGCCCGGTAGCCGTTCTCATCCGCCTCCCAGTTGACCTGAATGGTCTTCCCCTCCGGGGACACGTACTGGTAGCTGCCCGACACGCGAAGGGTGCCCGTCTCCGGCTCGGGGCCCGGCAGGCTCTCGCCGGCGCTCTTCATGATGATGCCGTTGGAGGTCTCGACGTCGGAGCGATAGCTGTTGTCGATAGCTTGCTCGAATTCGTTCTTGATGGTCTCGGCGTTTTTGTCGGAGCCGGGGACGTACTGGGCGGCGGCCACGGCCACGAGAACGGCGAACACAAACTGCGGAACGACAATCAGACCATAAGCAGAAGCTATGAAAGCCTGGAATGCCTCAGACAATGGCGTAGGCCACATCATTGACAGTTATGTCTGCCACGTGTGTTGGTCGTCATGCGCAGTGTCAACTCAAGGACATTTCCGAGAAGTGACTTTTTATCTCAGCAAGCTTTGCTGAAAGGAAAAGGGTGCGAGACATACCGATCAGCCATGCATGACAAGGTAATAATTATTGCTTGTTTTTGTTTTTTTATTGAGCTAACATTTTGACTTTCTTCGTGCAACTGAGAGCGTCTTTACATATGATTCGCCCGTGAAGTTCACAAGCATTCACTTTTGCTTTGTACATTCCAACCTTATTCGAGCAACAGAGGAGGGGGTATATGAAAGGCCCCTGAATGCATATAAAGTGAATGCCTCGGCTTCTAACAAGACCATTTAACACACACATTTACTTGAAAGGCTGATTCATTTTCAACTGAATCTGCGCTGCATTGCGAGTATCGCTGATCCCAAGCCAGCTGTTAGATCTAACGATTTAGCGGTTAAATGGCCATTGACGTCACCTGACGCCACATTGCTGTTACACGCCCCTCACAATTATCCGTCACCATCGGATAGTTTTCGGTAAAGACACCAGGCCTGCACGCCGAAACGAAACAGCAGCACTGCATCCCCCCAGCCTAGCACTCGCAACGTCAAAGCACAGACTTCCAGCCGCGGGTTCCTCAAGGGTGCGTCCTGTGCTCGCCGCAGTTGTTCCGTCGCTTACCAGCTTCATGACGGCGGGCGAGACGTGGGTTGGCGCAGGCGATACTCGGCTGGCCCTCCCGCCCACCGCCACGCACCTTTATACCCGGGCCCGCCTCTCGCTTGAGGCGGTCTCCTGCACGTGCACCGGTCGGGCAGGGCTGCTGGAGACGGCCACCAACCGGCCCCACGTACGCACTGGACCGGATCTGACCCGTATCGGCACAGTGTGAACTCCCCCCCCCCCCCGCATACCCACACACCCACACGAATGCACTGGGATCTGATCTGCACTGATGCACTGATCTGACCCGTATCGGCACAGTGTTCCCCCCTCCCACACACACGCGCACGAAGGCAGCGGGCCAGATCTGACCCGTGTCGGGGCAGTGTGACCCCCCTCTCCACACATAAACATACACACATAAGAAGGTACCGGGCCAGATTTGACCCGTATCGTTACACTGTGACCCCCCCCCCCCTCCCACCCACCCACCCACGAAAGCGCCGTGCCAGATCTGACCCGTATCGGCACAGTGTGACCCCCCTACCCCCCCCGGATAATCGGCGGTGTGGCGACGCTGGCACCCACTCAGCCAGGGGATATGGCTCAACGATGAAAAATCCCAAGGAGGAGTGATAAGCCCAAAGGCTGTCTCAATTTCAAGCGCTTGCAGGAATTGAGGTTTAAGCTATTTTTGATGCGTTGTTAGATCTGGGACGAAAAAAATCAATGTTTAGGCGACAAGTGCTGCTGTGAATGCTGTTAGATGTGGCTGTCTCAGCATATGGAAACATTCTATGAGTGGTAAAAACGCGAATGACGTCTCCAGTTTTATCAGACTCCCCTCCCCGTGTGATTTTTGCGGTGTAGCTACCCACATCCCAGCTCTGATGCAGGGGGAGGTATGAATCTCATGGGCTTTCACCGAGCAGTTGGCAAAAGGTGTGCAGGATAAATTATTTTAAAGTAGCTTGATTCATTGCAAGAAATCCCGGGATTACTATACGAATATTTTGAATGGATGAAAGCCCCTACGTTAAGTTGCTGGTCTGTGTAAAACCATGCTGGTTGCCATGAACACGCATCTCTGGCAAATGGATGGGCTCGTATGGAAATTTGTCCGGGAATTCCAGGAACACTTACATTGCTTGGAGGTATCTCACTTAAGCTTTGGTGGAAGCTAGCAAAAAGATGTGAATAGATGCGCTGAATGTGTCGAAATTAGCAAATTTGCTAACGTCTGTCTCACAATAACCATAGCAGAAGCTACGATAATTGTGAGAAGAGATGACAGGTGTGAGCAATCCCTAAATTTCCAAATTTTAAAGCTGTTCGTCATTTTGTCAACATTGACGCCGATGTGCAAGGAGAGATAGTGTCCAAAAACTGACCAAGCTGATTCTTAGCTAAAAAACTGATCGATTTCTGCAATGGTTTAAAGCACTTGAACATGCCAAATTTTTTGTCGATGTAATACATTGACATTCTCACTTATCAGTGACTTTTATATGCACTTAAATGCTGTTTCCATAGATAAAACAGTAGTAGCAGCTTTATTCCTCGGAGAAGAACCAGGATAATAAAGATATGGATGCGTTGATATTTCGTCAACATGGCTTTATCGAAACAACAGCAGATGTGAGGCTTCAACTCCATTATAAAAGTCATTCATCGGCAACAAACTATCACAAATCACCCACCCACACAAATTATCAAATAATAGCCAGTCACCCCACAAATTATCATCGATTACGCAGGAAACTAAATTATTTTAGCTTCCTATTCACGCACTCAAAATCGAGGAAGGATCAAACCATTGGTCCTTAATGTCGATCCCCATGGCTCAGTTGGTTCGAGCGCTTGCCTTCCGATTCATTCAACCGTGGTGGGGTGAAATTTCGTCACCAAATTTTGCTATTGACCTAGAATTGCACGATCGGATGGTAGGGGTCAGGGTTGGCACAAAAAGCCCCACCAAATTCTGCTTTTGACCTAGAATTGCGCGATCGGATGGTCCGATCCCACAAATCCATCTATTCAAAAGGTTTGGATTAAATTTATTAAAATAGTTATTTGTCAAACAAACATTGTCAGGGATTTTCTGACAAGTTTCACATATATTTAATTAATGGGCGGGATTAATCATTAACATTGCGCCCAATGTTATTTACCAAAACAAAAAGAAAACCTACATGACAGCAAGGCTGTCAGTACCGGATCTCTCACATGCCAATCATTGGCACTTCGTAGATATATTATTTGGATGTCGGCATGACTTTTCATGGCAGTTTTTATGTGCAACAAAACAAAAAGGATAATAGCAAAAGCGGTAGACACTGGAAGAAGAAAAACGCACTTAAAGCATCAATCTAAACTAATCGCCATACTTACTCATTTCTCTTAGGTTCGTAAATGCCTGTCAGCGACGTCACATGCGTTTCATATATCCTTAAACAACAGAAAGTCCTTCGACAGGCATGCGCCAGGATTCCTAACATCCAGGAGCCTTTCATCCTCATTGATGCCCTTAATTGACATGCAAGAGTCCTCCATCTGCATGTAGTCAAGCCCTAAGAGAGTCTACATACAGTCAACATTTCCAGCACCAGAAACAGCACCAACATTTCCAGCTCCTGTGTTCTTCCGCGCACGCTCTTGCGTGCGTGAGCGGAAGAACACTCTTCCACCAACAGGCGTCCAGATGCATGGCGGTAACATGTCTTTTGGAGCTGATGCATGGCTCCGATGTCACGTGATCGTACCATGTCGAAGTCCACGGCTACACGACCTTACTGTGTAACAAAGCTAAACGGGTCTCAGCACGTCACAATGCATCGCGTCATGTGACGTATCGTCACCGCGGTTTTGTGATCCTGTGACGTCATTAACCTAAGAGGTGGCGGTCTTATCATGGCACCGACTTAGGTGCTGTGTTCTGCGCTCGATGAAATCATGTCTTCTGATCCCAGTGTCCGGATTGTTATAATAATGATGCTATCTCTGTCGATTTTGGGTCGAATATTGGGTAGTTTGGCGCGTCACGCCCACTTTTCACCTATTTTCAGGTTCCTGCGCCGTGGTTTATTTTCAGGTTTAGCTGGAATATGTCACACCTACGCGTTAAACCTTGGGCAAGGCACATTAAGGATACGTTATAGGCATGGGTGTAGATATGTTCTCTTTTGGGGGGGGGGGGGGGTAGCTGGCATCCCAAAAGGCGTCCGAATGCAAACATGAATCACTTTGCAGACGGTCTCTGCTAGCCTGCTTATGAAGATCTGACTTAAATTCCAACGTGTCTCCCTGTCATTTACAGCGCGTCCGTAACCAATTATGGCTGCAGCACTCGGAGTTGAGCGCGATATTTCAGACGCAGCTGCATTATATTGCGGCCAATAACGCTCGCGACATTTTGCGCCTAACGCATATCATCATCGTGCTCACAAATAACGCGATAAACCACTCCAGTGTAAGACAATCGGTTTTGCCTCAGCGGTTTTGCCTGTGTGATGGTGTAATACGAAATACATTATGCGTCATGCTGTTCAATGATATCATGTATAGCATGGCGTCTCTTAAGGCATCAGTAACTAATTTAAATGGGGACGGCACTTATTTATATCAATGGTATGTGCGGCGAATGTCACATATCACGTTTTAAAAATTCCTTCATACGTACTTCATATGGTGTTTGCAGTGACTGTGCCGAACACGACCGTCTTTCGTTTTACCGGCGAGAACTGCTTGAGCGAAGATCCAAGCAATCCTTGCAGTTAATCATGAAAGTGCCGCCTACTAGTAGGACATCGTAATGACATCAACTACATGTAACGATGTAATGATAAAACCCTACGATGTGATCGGATCGCATAAAGCGGAATGCAAAGGATGATGGCAGGGCCAGCTGTGGTGCCGGGCTTTTTGGCAATCGAATTAACATTGCTGCTCCTGCCGAAGTTGACGGGCCGACATTCGCCGAATAAAAATGTTCGTCTCAGGCTTGCAGTCTCTCACCTGCCCATTCCGCCATTTGACCTTGTGCAGGGATTATTCAAATGAGCCCGGTGGCGTAAGCGGCGGGGATTCGCGCGCGCCGCTGTCCGTGTGGGTTTAGTGCCCGCGTCTCTGCTGCGATTCGACCCCTTTCCATTGCCTTTCAGACCGGGGCGCCGAGAGAAGGCGGGTGCAGAGCCGGAGCCCAGGGCGCAGGCATGCACGCAGAGCCAGCTCAAGTGGTATGCACAGTATGCTGAACACGCTTGGGACAGATGATTTATGGTCTGAGCGCGCTGAGTTGAGCCGTGATTCTGGTCCAGCTGTTCCAGTGACACCTGAAAAACAGCATGTATTTCTGTCAATGACTGAAATGCGGTAACGAAGTAAAAAAAAAACTGTCTAAATCGTTTTCCTTTGGTAAGCTGAATCAGTGAAGTTGCATATCTCAGTAACGTTTCTTCCACGGCCCATCGTCAGCCAGCCCGAACCTGGCCTAAACCGGATCGCGGCAGTTCACACTCTGACTCATACCGGCATTTCCTTTCCATGCTTACCGTGACCCCCCAATCCCCCATCCCCAACCCCATCCTGCCTGCTGACTTCAGCTAGAAGCTCCAGGAGCCGTGTGGCAAAGTTACCTCAGCGAAACGTGTCTCGGAGAGGCCGCAAAGCCGCAAGGCCGCGAAGGAGATCGAAATCAGCCGAAAACCAGCCCGTTTACGAAACCCGAAACCACTCGCATGAGCTGCAATTTCCCATCCAAAATCTTGAATTCCGACCCGCTATTCTGGGCGCGCATTTGCCTGGGGCCCCTCCCCAAGATCTCGGGATCCGGTCACAGGATCTCCATTAAGGTCCTGGGATCCTGGATCCATCTCAGGGATCCATGCAGATATCTGGTTCTGCGTCGCTTCGGTTGGACCGCTAGTCCTCGTCTTCTGACGGCGAAGGCTGCTGCACACCTCCTCACGCAACGCCTTCGTATGCGTGACATGCCAGGCGTGACTTACTAGGCGTGACTTCAGAGGCGTAAGGCGTGAGGTCGCACCAGTAATAGCCAGCTGGCCACGAGACGTGACGAGCGGCACGGCGGGGAGCTTCGCCGCATGTTTTTGCAGGCCGGCTGGGTCAAGGTCATACCGCTAGCAGCCCAGGCATGTGTTTAAGCCGGCTGGCAAAAACAACGGGTAAAGTGCACAGTTAATGTGAACCGTTAAAGTGAAAAGTGGCTCCGGCCGGAACCGGGTGAGGTGTTAGCCGAAGTTGTCAGGATCTCACTGAAAGACAGCCTAAGGGTCTCACTGAAGAAAGACAGCCTTGCGATCCTTAAATCGCGGAAGCGGCCTGCACGCAGTGCTTAGCTATGTACAGCCTCGATTAGACTCAGCGCTACCTGGGCCACACGCTTGGCGAGCGTGGTGGCGATTATGGCAGCTGGATCTTAATGTCCGGCTTTATTTTGCAGTTGCAGCAGCCGCCTACCTGGAAGATCTTAACAATTCACCATGCATATGTTCAGCACTGGCGACGGATACTTGGTGAGAAGCTGCGAGCTATAAAACTCCGTCGAAATGGCTGGAGCAGCTTATCTCTACCATCGCGCGCCTCCGAACAAATGGAACTGGCGAAGTTGTTGGTGGCGACGCGGGAAATTAATAATTAGACGAGATGAAAATTGGAGTATTTGTACAACACGATGTTAAAAGCTTGCTGTGCCTCGGATATCGTATGTGGCATGCGGCTGAAGTACCTGCAGGCGTGTGATGGACGGCTAGTACATTTATTACTGCAAGATGAGATGAAAATGTGATTTTGCCAAATGCAAGATGCAGTTTGTTATGCATTTAGCTAGGAATGGTATATCAGGGGTCAGATATACTTGCTATTGGGCCAGAAAAACGTAATTATAAAGTATTATGCAAATCCTGTGATTCATATACACCTGGCTGGCGTCAAAAGTTAGGATGCCCTTCTCAGTTGGAATATTTGTCGGACTTAATTAATATTTGCCAACCGTGTTTCTGATTACACTCAGTGTTGGCAACATAACCATATATACCCTGTGCAACAACATAAGCAGGTACGCAAGCCAGCAACAGCACCCAACAGGGGTGCAGTCGGGATTTTCCGATGGGGAGATGGCGGACCTCAGTAAGAAAATCTCACGTCTCTTTTTTTTGTGCTTTCTGCACGTGTCATCTATGGCAAGAAAAATGCGGGCTAAGCCCTTGGCTGCATTTCTGGCACGAAGCAACAACGCTGGCGACAAGAAAGATAAGCGATAATATTTTTTCAGTTGTGCTCTTACATCGTCCAAACTATCCCACGGAACTCTTGCCTGTCTCAGTATCGCAGCATGACATTTACTAAAGCTTAATTTATTCCAAATGGCGCGCACGGACGGCTTCGGGTGTAGAGCGACAGCTAAGCATAGCTTGTTACGTTTATTCTGAGCCAACCACCAAAGCCGTGCCGTCCAGTTCAACGAATAGTTTTGAATCCACCTTTTCGTCAGGAATGCGGGCGGTTGTACGTGCCGCACAATGCTGCGGCACGACCGGCCCGGGCCTGGGTTGACCCTCGTTGGCCAGCTGCCAGCTGATCTTTCCGTTCCAGTCGGGCCAAGTAATGCGCCCGCTCTGGGACTGGTACCCAGCGCCTCTGGATTATGAGACCAACAGACCACGGAGACGGTGAAGACGAAGACGGAGGCTGTGTACACCATTGGCTATATGATCACAGGCATACGCACTCAAAAACAATGCTAAAGCGATCCATTCCCCCAACAGTGCGCGGCGAGGAAATCGGAACTAGTCTGCTCACTGTCCTGTATACGTCCGCCTTACGTACCGTGGACAGTGGATAGAGACTGTGAACTGACTGTCCTCCCCCTCCTGACAATCATGCAAGGTGGGGTGACCTGCGTCCTCCCTTACTCCAGTACCCTTATCACTAGAGCACAGTCCTTCACCCCAGAGCACTAGAGCAGCGCAAGCACTGCAGCGGCCCCCGCACGGCCCACACCGCCGACCACGTGCCGCGTCATATGTCATCGTCATCGATCAGTCTGTCAGCGGGGCGTGCCTGACCGCGCCGTTACCCCCTCCCCCATCCGGCCCCGGGTGCTCGTGTCACAGAGTGGACGTGGTGGTGCGCCCAGCCAGCTGCCGGCAGCTGCGCTGACCCGGTGGTGCCCCCGCCGCCTCCGCCGCCGCGACCCGGTCTCAGGGTCAAGGTCGACCAGGGCGCAGTTCAAGGTCAGATACGTCTGGAGACACCTGAAGGCCAGGTAGATCTAGAAGCTGCGTTAAGGTCAGGGCGGTTTGGAAACTTCTCTCAGTAAAGGAGCGACTGGCGACATTGCAAAGCCAGTTTGGTGGAAAAAAAGCTGCTAAGATCACGTGCTGGCACGTGCTCTGTTAGTCTGGGACGAGATGCGTGCGAATACGCATTTATGGCCGGTTCGCAAACGCATGTTTGAAGTTGAAACGATCGTGAACAGAGAAGGGCAAAATAACGTTAAGTTATGTCATGTTTAGTTATGATCGCAACGTTTAGTTATGTTCGCAATAGTTTGCATGATATCCACTAGCCCGCTTCAGCAGCCAGAGCCAGAAGATGAACATACGGTGAGTTGTCCTCATGGATTCACGTAGCCTATCTGGAGGCAAGCAGTGATTCTGATTATCTTCGGCATCATCCTCTTGCTTTAAAATGCATTGAAGGCATCCTATATCTTGTATGTCTATCGGACAATTGTGCGTTGAGAGAAAGGACAAAGCGTCCAGACTAAAGCTTTTGAAACTTTAGAGGTCCAAGCATTCATTGATCACCAGCTAGCTTACCCATACGAACATGTTTTTACGCCTGGACGATTGTCTATGGCTTCTCAGGACAACCAGTACGTTCGATGCTGAAACTATCTTAAGTTGGGCAAACGAGTCCTCAAAAACGCAACAAACGGTAATGTTTGCACCAACTGCACAGCGCTTATAGCTATATCTCAGCATATCTATTCACGGCTGGAGAAGTGGGCGGATACCTTCCTGATGTAGCTAACCGGTGGTTTAGCCGATCGTGCATGACAACACGCAACAAACACATAACGCTTTTCAGGGGTGCAGCCATAAACCTAAATGGTGGTCCTGAAATCGCCGCCTTTTTCACACCACGTGGTTGCGCCATCCAAACACAACCCGCGCAAAACGCTTCATGGCGAGCATAGCACCTTGCACGACCTCAGAGCCTCCATTGTTGCGCTGTCAGACGATTGAGCTGTGCAGGTGAAAGGCAAAAGAGTGACGTGGCATCCGTCCTTGTCACTTTTCACCATGACCTCTACCGCCGATGTCACTTTGGATGCGGACGTGATCAGCGACTGCGTTGTTTGGTCATCTGCTCATGTTCGCGTTTTTTGACAATGTTGTTCATGGACAGTGACCCCTCTTCCATCCGCTTTAAGCACCAGCGCGTGCTATAATTAGGTTGGTTACGTGTGGACAAGGCACAAGATGCGGTGGTTAACACGAAGAGTACAACATTCAGGCAGGGGCTTGTTATGGCGCAAGACCCTGGTGCTTCTAGCGGGCTTCACGCTAGTCGTTTTCACAAAGATTTACGGCGCAACACATTGTGAATGCTCTTTTTACTTTTCAGAGTTTGTTTTCTAACAACACAGCTTTCATTAGCGATTCTTGGCTGGAAATGTTAAGCATGGATTTAAAAAACATGTTTGTAAATACGAATAATTTGATAAATTACGCTTCGCTGGCTATAAGGAAGATCTTGCTTCCACGGGCAAGTATGGTGCAAGATCTCTCCTACTGAAGCTTTTCAAACCCGTTTTAAAAGCATTTGGTGGCATCTCTGACGCAGACGCAACAAAACAAACTTCTATATCCTTTTAGCGTCCTTGTCCATAGGCATGCAATACTTGCTGAGCTTATACACAGCACTTGCAGAGTTTGCTCAGAGTATGCATAGAGCTTCCAAGGGTTAAATACCTCCATGATCTAAAATGAGCGATCCTTGAATGAAATGGCGTTTAACATCCGCCTTGCTCCCCGCACCACCGATGTAAACAGTAATGGCGCAGCCAACATCCAACGCTCTCGACCGATTAAAAGTGCTGACTGTCAGGGCTAATTTTTTCCTAGAATTTGGGTAAGCTAAATGCATGAGCTGAGTTAATGTCTATATCAGGTTCTTGTTTAATGCGTCGAACTTATTCTTACTTAGATACACGTGGTTTACTTATTGTATGTCAGTTGAAATGCATGCAAACAAACCGTTCCTTGTCAAAGTGTTTAAAATATAATACAACTTCATAGAAACTTTTAAAAAACTTTTGAAAAGATGTCGGTGTATTTATCCGTCATAAATGGCTATTTTCTTGATTTAAAGCGCACGTCTCAACGCACTCCCATATCTGTTCAACTAAAATGAAAGACCGATCACGAGACAAGTCAAAATACTCACCGGAGTTAAGCTAGTAAAACAAGTTTTTGATGCTATCTTGCTTAAGGTAGCCAGAAACGATACCAGAAAAGAGCGCATTTGAGCACCAACAAACACTGAAAAACGGAAATATTGTTAGTTTAAACCCAATCACTTCAGTAGGCGGCACTGTGACTTCACGACCTGAAGTACTACCGCGGCGCTGGTGCCGTCGTAGAGTAGGTTTCTCTCATATAGCTTGTGATGAACTGAAACACAAGCAGAAATATTGTAGCGTATTAAAGAAAACGACTAGCAGCATAATATACATTTTATCCCCGTGTAAAAACACAGGCACTCATCAGCACTTCTAAAACGATTGATGCGTTCTCTCATAGCCTCCGGACAACATCATCTAGAGAATGTTGCAGAGTCGGCCAAAAGTGCATTTTCCAGAAGATGCAGACGCGAAAGCATATCATGTAACTGGTTCACGAAATGGCATCAAAAGGGGCATCTAGCGTCAGCGTGACCAACATGAAACGAACCCGTGCAAAGGGCCTAGCCCGCCGGATTAACTTGCCTCGTGACGAGGTGGAGGTGTTGTGTCGTGGGGCAGTAGAGTGTTCCTTGGTACGGACCAGCGCCTTTAGACGTCTCATCATCGGTACGTGACGATCAGCACTCGCTCGGAGCGTAGCAGCAACAGCGATATCCACTCGGAGCGTAAGGTGGTGAGTGGCGTCTATGTCCCGCGTGCTTCACGCTCTGTTTTAAGATGAGCGCGCAGATATGGCCGTGCTTTGGTGACCGAACCAAATCAAATACAGGGTGGGACGAACCGTACCGAGCATTGTGACATGTTAAACTTCCGCTACCACGTTCAGCCGTTGGCAACGATCGGATGGTAGGGGTCAGGGCTGTGGCAACAAGCGCTGTTTAGCGTGAGCTCTGGTCCCAGAAGTGCAGCGATTCACTAGGTTCAAGGTTCACAAGATTCACAAGGTTCCGTTAAATCTAAACCGTGAAGTATTACGACTGCAAGCAGCCATACTGAATTACGGGCAGCAATGTATGTGCACATACATGGTCGATGTGCCCATGAAAACCAACAATATAAAGTAAAGCATCGCACACACTCATCTAAGTTGTTATTCCACTTGCAGAGACGCTGGTGGCATGGAACTTACCAGCAGTAATTGTGGTTTGGATGCGTAAAGGTCGAGTTATAAACTCACGCAGACACATTTTCGCTTTCTTGTGTCGACAACCAACATGTGGGGCTGCGGCAGTATTCGCTCGAGCACTTGTGCGTCTTCTTGAGGATAATCTTTTGTTAGAATATCCGTGAGAATAAAAAATAAGCATCAATGGGTTTGAATAAACAGTTCTGTTTATTTAAAAATGAAACTTGCTCAGACCTCATCTGTTTTCTAATGTAGACATCAAAATTCACCTCTTACCGTTTTGGGCAGGTTTGGGGCGGAGAAAGTTGTGAAATTTGATCCAATTGCGCTCATTGTAAACAGCTGGGACATCACCGTCTGCCACGATTTTTGAAAAAGTCCGCTCAAAGGGGCATATCACATCATTGACATTATCCGGGATTCGTCATGAAATCTGTCGGGCTGAACGGACAGGAACCATGCTGATGAATTTTAAGCGTGCCATTGAAAATGAGCACAGCTTGAAACATAGAGTACCGTCAATATCATCGCTATGCAGCATTTCAATTTCGATTAGCCCGTACCTCCTGGTACATGGAAGGCCGCTAACCCAACTCAAGAATTTTCAACTCATGAAGCATCGTCCAATGTCACGACGAAGGTTCTGAAACTGATGGTAGGCTAGGTCACAGCTCAAGGTGGGGGCCGGAAGTAGGCGGAGCTTATGCCAGGCAGAACAGCAGACTCTGAGCGGGGCAAACCGAAAGTTAACCTTGCGGTTTGTTAAGGCAATCGCCATTTGTTGCCGATCTTGAAGTCTTTCCAAAGACTCACATCAGGTTTGATGTTGACTAATTTTTCAAATAAATGCGACGGAGCAAAAAAATCAGTTCGGGTCACTGATTCGGCCCGACAAGGAACCTCAACATTAGCTAATAATAATGATGATAGCCCAGCACTGCCTTCTCTGTGCCTTTCAACAGGTTGCCAAGCCCACCGCACGTGATACCATTCGGAGGACAGAAGCTGTAGTAACGTATTGAGTGTGGGTTTGCTTGATGGACCGAGGGAGCCGCCGTCCCAGCCAAAAGAATGAAGCTGCAACACGCCATAATGTGAGTGTGGGCCAGCTGAGAGGGTTGCCTGTGACGAGAGAGAAAAGAGAGAGAAGAGAGAGAAGAGGGGAGGAGAGAGAGAGCAGGGAGGGAAAGAGAGAGAGAGGGAGGAGAGGGAGAGAGATAGAGAGAGAGGGGGGAGGAGAGGAGAGAGAGAGCAGAGAAGAAGAGAGAGAGAGAGGATGGGCGAGAGAGGGAGAGGAGAGGAGAGAGAGAAGAGAGAGAAGAGAGAGAGAGAGAGAGACAGAAGAGAGAGAGAGAGATGGAAGAGAGAGAGGAGAGAGAGAGAGAGAATGGGATGAGAGAGAGAGAGAATGGAGACGCTCAGATCGAGAGGAATGGAGGAGAGAGAGAGATAGAGAAGATAGGAGGAGAGAGAATAGTAGAGAGAGAGAGAGCGTAGAGAGAAGCTAATGATATAGGGACATCGAGAAGTACAAGAGATAGAGAGATATAGATAAGAGAGATGAGAGATAGAGGAGAGATAGCGATATCTATATCTCCGAGAGAGCAGATAGATCCGCGAAGATGATAGATAGCTATAAGGAGAGAGAGAGAGAGAGAGAGAGAGAGAGAGAGCTGCGTTGTCGGCATTCAGATGACGAGCAAGCTTCCGGTGTTTACATTCATAAATACGTCAGGTATTGGCTTTGGTGTACGCATGAGTTCTGTGGTGGTGGGGAAAAATGATGTTCAGTAATGATCAATCCCTCTTATGAGGCTTAACATGCATTTTCCTGATCCTCTCGATCACCTTTGTTGACTCAATAAAGTGGCGCCAATTTTCGCTTACGGTAACACCGCATTTCTCTCGGGGGATGTAAAACGAATATTCTACGAATGACCAACATCGTATCACAGTTAGGATATTTTCACATTGACATATGGGTTCTAACACACCTTGATCGAGGAGAATAAAAACAGGCATATCAGTCGTGGAATTGACATGCACGTTTCTACGCAAAAAGGAGCACCGACAGAGGCATCCCGCCTGCACGGGGGCTGATTGCATGTCATTTCAGATTGGCTGCCTTCACCCTGTCTTTCGCGGGAGCCAACGTCAAAATGACCTCCTGCGATCAGCAAGAGTTTCAGCGTTATCTGATGAGAGATGACTGGAAGAGCATCGCCATCTGCATCAAGAACGCCTCGGTGCGGAAGAAGTAAGATATGCGGCAACTGAACGCGCGTGAAAGATGACAATTCATGGAACATCATGGACACACATATGATAGGGGGCGCGTTATCAAACGGTGGGCACACATATTTGGAGACGCGTTACCTAGAGGGATGCATATATTCTGAGATGCGCTACCAAAGGAAGCACACAGATTTGGAACGCACCACCAAAGCGATGGTCTGTCACTGAGCCTCTCACTTTGCTTGTGTACAGGAGCAGAGGAGTGCAATAAATTTCTCGACATGAAATATGGCAGAGCTGATAACTTTGATGCAGATAGTTTGATGATGCAGATAACTTTCATACCGCTGTAACAAAAGCCCCAATGGTAAAAAAAAACGTTCGAACACTGTGACGGCAAAGTCAAGGTCAATATGTTTCAGATCGAAAAGCTTCGCGTTCGCTGTAGCTCCCTCGAAAGCTGCTGCCGGGATGTAAATGGTTTTGGTGTTTTCGTGCTCTGACCGTCACCTCTTCCACAGCCTCTGCAACAGCACGGTGATCACGGGCACGATCCTGGAGCTGCCGTTGGTGCTGCTGGAGCGCTGGAGGCGCGCCTGCCGTCCCGACTTCACCATCGGCGTCACCAAGTCACCGCCGAGACCATCCGGCTCGGACAGTTCCAGCCCAGCCAGCTCAGCTAGTTCCAGCCCCAGCCCCAGCTCCAGCTCGGTCAGCTCCAGCCCCCCGGTACGAGTCTGGTGAAGCAGCCGGGCCTGCTGAAGAAGTTCAGACATTGTCTTTCCGTTTCATTTAGTTATGATTTAAGACATGCTTTCACTAAGCGAGACGAAAGATCCGATGAATAACCAAAGGCTTTTCAGAGGCAAGAAAAGCCTGCACAGCAGAAACATTGTCACTTGTGTGTTTTCTCTTTAATGATAACGCTGTGGAAGAAAATGTTGCCGCAGTGAAAGAAGGAATGCTGTACTTACTTACGAAAATGGGAGGTATATACAACTCTCACAGTGCTCATGCAAAAAAGTTGCAAAATAATTGCAACGCGCAGATAAAATCTACGGCAAGGAGCCTGCTCAATGTAAAAGGGGTTTCGCCGCATGCGTTTGCAAATGTAGCTAAAAACAATTCCTCGGAGGGCTTAATTCTTTTAAGCACGATTGACGTATGTCATCAGTGCTTCGGCGTATTTCTATGAATGTTAATGTGCGCAGGTGGCATGTTTATGATAGCGTAGTTACTAAGGCATGCTGTTCTGACATCCTAGTGTCAGCCATATTCGATGCTGCATTTATCTTGAGAGAAATTATGACAGTGTGCCGCTCTAGCTCAGGCATAAATTAATCTGAAAGGACGCTTAGTGCTCGTTTGAATCTGGAGTTATTTCCTTGAACAGGAGTTTCTTTAGTCCCGATTTTTTTAAACTCTAGTCTCAGTTCCCAAATGTACTTCTGGTTCTCCTTAAGATTGTAGACTACAGCTGAGTTTACCAGTATAAACCAAATTTTCCCACCGTGGTAGTTGACTTGACTATTCACTCACCTTCGAGGAATTCCAACATCTTTAAAGATTACGGAAAAACACTCCAGACGTTTCTCCATCTAAAGGGAGTGTTTCACATTTGTGTGGCACTTTTGAACTCAAATAGCCATCCCAAAAATGATTATGTGCAGTTCATGGCCTTGTCCTTATTAAAGCCTAATTATCTCTAGTTTCTAAGCTACACGCGCGCGAAGATGCGCAGGCTATTTTAGGGAGACTTTTTTTAATGTCACCCAGGCATCCATGCTCCCACAATGACATGCTAATCCGGCCATTCCATCAGCAATGCAGCTATCAAGGCCAATAAAAACACAATTGTCCAGTCGTTGCTATCTGGCGATTACGTTCCCGATCTCCAGATCAAGCGACCATCAATTGGTTCCCAATCGATGTTATGCAAGGTACGATGACGTAATCAAACGACGACGAAACGACGAACTGAGAAGCATATTTACTAGACAGAAAAATTACGTCGATTGGAGCAGTCTTTTCTTCTTAAAAGCGAAGCATCAGTTGTAAGTGAACCTATTTCATCATATATGATGCCTGCTTCAATATGTTCAAATGGGGAGCGATCCCTTTAAACCTGCGCATCACCATCGTGAACGAAGCAGTCTCGCGCGCAGCTCAGTCAGTACCATTCCCACTAAGCCAACCCTCTTTTCCTCCTGCAACAGGTCCAGCTTCCGCTGCCGGCAGCTGCGGCGCTCGACGCCGGCAGCTTCGCCGCCGCCGCGCAGCTGAAGCGGGGCGGCAAGCTGAGCAGAATGAGGGAGTTGCTGCTGGTGGCGCCGCCGGCCGGCGAAGCGACGCCGTCCGACCAGCGATCGCAGCGCCTCACCGCGGCCGGAGCCAAAATCATTGGTGCGTTCCTGTGTGGGAGGTTCTGCGTCCAGTACGCGGCTTTTGTGCTTCTTTATTAGTTTTACCTTTGTTTGCGTCCCTGTGCGACCCCCGTTTTTATTCATGTTTACGCACTTTATATTCTCAACTTGCATTTTGTTTACTCACATTTGCATTTGGTTATTCCTTGACTCATTTCTTCCTATATTGGCATTTCAATTTCCTGTTTTTTGCTGATTGCTTCACACCAGCGATATTCCCCCTTTACATAGGCCCTTATACAACAGTTGTCTGCCATCCATGCAGCTCAGTCGGTACGGCATGTCACACAGATCAACGGCCAGCAAGCGTTACGGACTAGTCAGATGACGTTCCGATTTTGCACTTGCATCTCTGTCACCAACACCCAGCTGTGAGCTGTCTGAGCGAGCCTGAGAAGAACGGCTCCTTCACTATGCTAGCGAAGCAAGAGTGAAAGATATCCATCCGCGCTTTGACAAACATAAACATATCTTTCCATTGTCGGCAACGAGCGGCCGACGCTGAACCTGTCCTAAATACCTGTGGATTGTAGGGTTATGGTCTTTGTCGCTGTGCCTGTATCACCGTTATGACATTCTCCTGTCCCTACCGCCAACCGAAGAATCCGATAAGGCGGCGGACGAGTCATCCAAGCCCATCACGACCAGCCGGCCGTGCACCATTCGTGAGCGGACGGTCACGGCGAAGGTCTGCCCGACCTCTGCCTGCTGTCTCTCACTGACATTCAGTGGATGCCCGCTTTGAATGCCTTTTTTCAGAGCAGGGCCTGGCTGAGGTGTGCCCGAACAACAGTCACGAGATGACCGGCTGCTTCCGGAAAGGCTTCAACAACGCTCGGCCGCTCTTCAAAAAACGTATGCCACAAAACGACCAGATTATTGCATGTCACCGCTTGCCAGAGTTCTTAGCGTCTCATAAATGTCAGGGTCTAGTTCGGACCATTCAAGATTGCTGCCTTTCTCTTAAAGCATTTACGGTCTTGTGTGGTCCAATTTTTGCCATCTTCTGCACCTCTAAGCCTGATCAATGTTGCCACAGTTTTAGTGTTTCACGTGAGCAAAAAAGGCATTTAATTCCTGGTTCTTCTGCAATTTGAGTCCCGGGTTGACAGCTGTCGACTGCCAACATACCAGACGTTACTGGTTAAACAACATTATCCAGCGAAAACTAACAGACTCATATTTCATAATGTGTCTTATCTATGCTATTGTAAACACTTTGAGACAATATAATCGATGGTCCATTCATACTGTCGTTAAAACAGTACCTCCTTGTATATCGAGGGTTGATGACTGTCAGTATTACAACTTTGAGCACTTTTCCAATGGTTTGTTCCGTTCAGTAAATATATGACCCGTGAGCCATTTGTGATGACTGACAATGCAACATCAGAAATGGAGCACTGATATACTGCATCAACATATAACAGTCAACAACGCGTGAGTTCGTCAAAGAATCACAGCCTACACGATGATAGCGAGGAACTCGCGGTAATCATATTCCACAATCATGCCCTCATTCCTAAGTTGATTTAACCATTCCTTAAATGGGCACGTGGTGAGGTCGTCGTAATCTAGAAGCAGCCCTGCGACCTTGGATGAGACCAAGGACTGGCTGAGTTGGACGGTGAGGCAAGCGAAGGAACGCGGTCCAACAGGCGACTTAAGGCGGGTGGATGAATGCTAGTTTAATCGATTGCCTGCTCCTGTATGCGGCACGAGAGATTTCTCGGGCCCAATGCACCCATCGTGGCTCAAGCTGAGAACATACCAACAAACCTGCCCACATTCAGTTCGGCATCAAGCGGCATGCATTGCCGTTTGGCTTCCTGAGTCGCATCAAAACGATCGTGTTGTTTGCTTCTGTCGAGCATAGAGCAAAATGCCGGGGATAATGTGGATATCTGTCATATCGTCTGCGAGCACGTCTTGTGCTTTGCAATCTGCAGACTTATCAGAAGCCGGTCTGCATACATTTTCAGTACAGCGAAATGCTTTTACCCCTTCTGACTTGTTCCGGGTGCATTACATATTTGCAGCGACAGCAATGAGTCAGGAAGATTCTTAGGCTCACTCAAGGCTCACTCAAGGCTCCTGTGTCCCTATTCCTGCTCATAGCTCAATCAAACGATGGCCCATTTTCAGGTTAAACACAGCACAAGAAACCGCCGGGCTAACAGAACTAAGTCGCTGATGCCAATTATCATTGCCCATAAAATTCAGGCATGTTGTGAGTCCACCCGTGATCCGACAATCCGTAACTAAATTCTTTGTTTCACCAATCATCGGCTGAGACGATCTACCAAAGAGTGCTGCCCTCCCATGACAACGCTCTTCTTACTCCTACATTCTCTTACTTACTCTTACAATCTCTTCACACCCTTATGTGAGCTCATCTCACTACGACAACGCCCTTCAGCGACCGCTGTGACTGTGCTCCTCAGGGGATCCACTGTTTCTTCCGATGACTATGAAGGGGGGCACCAAGAACGTCGGCTGGTCGTTGCGCGGCGTCAGAGTGGACGGCATCTCCGAATACAATGTGGTCAACGTCGGGTGAGCTTTCTCTCCAGCTTCCTCTTCATCTTGTTGAAATGAAGAAATGTGTCCAGGAGTTGGGAATGCAAAGGTTGGTTGGTCACAAAACCATGACTTCGTCCAAGTGATCATTCATTCCCAAGTCTACACACCATATAGTAGGGAACTGTAATAAGAAACAGGCCACATTAAAATGCATGTGCAATCGAACTCGCTGTGTGAAGCCACCAAGGCAGTAATAAATGCGAGTTGTTACAAATGGATGATGTATTTGATAAACTTTAATCGAGAGATTTGGCTGCATACGCCCGCAGCATGTTTGCATTATACCGAGCAGCGTATTTAATTCAACAACGAATTACACGTACTTTCATTCATTTCGTTTTCATTCAAAGTTCAGAGTTTTAATGACACGTAACTTATGCGTAGATTATTCAACAAGTGTCTCGTGTGTCTACTCCCCTTTACAATGCTATGCGCCTGGTGGATAGTCTCCACACAATCCTGAAGCACCCGCCCTGTTCGTACGTGACTGCTTTGCTAAGCATACGTCCATCATGGCATCGATATCGGTGAAGACCTTGGGCCCCGCAGCTGCCATCCATTCCCCGACCCTTGGCCTAATCCCGCGTCCCCTCCCCTCTGTCTCACCCACCCGTCGCGAGTCAGCCGTGTTGCCGGGACGGCGGCGTCACCTCAGACATGGCGCCGGGCCTCCTTGCCGTGATCTGGGTTTAAAAACGGCAAGGCGATGCGGGTCGTGTCTGGGCTCTTGCGCGCCGCCATATACTACTCGGGATTAGGGTCATTCTCTGTCAAATTACAGTCTCCACTGCTCCTCTGAGAGGTGCCGGGGGGCCGACGGAATGTTTATGGCGACGACGGCCGCAAAATACCTGGATTCGTTCCTGGAGGAGGGCCAAGCCAGCACGTAAATTGCCCTGAGATGACACCGAATAGCCAGGCATCGGTCTTTGCATTGTAAGCTCCCTTGAGGGTCAGACAGATGCTCCCCCTCCCTCACTCTCCCCCTTCCCATGGAGGCGCTACAAAGCGAAGGAGGTGCAATACAAGTATTCACGTGACCCATCTGAGAGTTCAGTTTAAAGTTCACTCCCAAGCACAACTGTAGGTCAACTACAATGCCACGTGCCCCTCGTACTCCACTCCTCCCCCCCCCCCCCACCCCCACCCCACCCCCAAATAAACATCTAATTGGAGAAGCGCCACCGCAGCCGACATTTGCGCGTGAGAAGTAAACAAGTTATCTGCAGCTGCATTCTTAGCTTATTTTATCGCGGTTTGTCTGGTGATTCACCGACGGAAAAGCGCATGCTGCCGCCAGTATGGTGAGCTTGCAAGCGTGTTTAATGACTCTTTCAATTTAATCTGGCCGGAGAATGTTCTGGTTGTGCACATGAAAGTCGAAATGTGTTGTAGATCAATGTAATAGTTCGGATTCGCTCATTTTACGTCCATGCAGTTATATCTTTGCGATCGCTTTGGATGGCCACGAGATTGAAGGACTCAAACGAAATATCCAGATATTTGGCCTGACCTGTGAATTTACCAGTTACCTAAGGTCAGCTTTGGACATGTGCAGTGTCAAACACTTCAGGCATATCTTACTGCTCACATCAGTCAGATCTATCCTTCACTTATGGAGAGATTCCGGGAGGACCCTTAAAACGTCGCCTTCTTCCGTCTAAAGAAGTTTGCAAATAGGCAATCCATTCCTGGTCCAAGACACGGGAGCAAAATGATAGCTGCCCACTGCACCTCGTCTCCAAACAAACACACAAACGGGAATATCGCCCGCCTTTCAGCTACCTGGCCTCGCCCGATCGCTCCAGCGTGCTCTAACCGGTATTTTCCGGTAACGTGCCTCGAGGCTGCCCCCCCCCCCCCCCCCCCCCCGTAAGCCCTGAGCTCACATCTGTCTGGTCACGTACTGCACGGTCTCGCGGCTCGGCCCCGGACTGACAGGCTGCAGGGGTCACGACACTGAGCGGTGTGACCAGGCCCGGGCCGAAGCGTGCCGGGCGGGTCCGCCGAGTATTCAGCGCCGGACACGCGACGTGTTTGACGCGTCCCAGAGGAGAGAATTTGGTGGAAAGTCAGTTCGCTGAGTTATGATGACGTCAGCGAAGGCTTCCTTGCGAAGTTTGTCTCTACTTTCAGTCACTCGCAGGTTTTTTACTTGTCTTGGATTGTTGTGAGGTAGTTTCGCGACAGAGTGGACCGCCCGCCAGTTGCAGTCAGTCAAACTGCACAAGGTCATCGTCAGTGACCACTTGACAACCAAGAGCATTGCAGCCTCCGAGTAAACATCACCTTGATCTGACTTGACCTTTCTTCTAAATTTCTCGTAATGTGATGGCATGGTTTGGTAACGCAGGAATACGCTGCTTCATTGCGTGTCAGCCGGTACGTTATAGGGCTGTTGTTGCAGATGTTTGAGAGCCCGAGCACGTTCCAAGATTACCATCTTAAATGCACTCTGCATGATTTCTGACGTCACCAATCAAGTGAAAGACATCAATTCAACGACTCCTGGGTTGTACGAACTAAGACTATGGATTGCTGTTTGAAGTTTGTTATCCAACGATCAGGTGTCGGGACGTCAGACGGTTACTTCTGCCACTCCCCAATCTACCTTTCACTCCACCACCACAAGGTGTTCGCGTCTGGCAAAGCACCCCAGCCAGTGGTTACTTACATCCCAATGTGTACACTTCAATGCTTCGCTTGCGGCGGTCAGTACTATTTCTCGGACTTGCATGACGCTTATCTTTTTTAGTGTTCATGTGTACGTCTTTAACCGTCTGTCCATGTACATTCATTTCGTGAACGTCGCAAGATATCGGCTAGCTTTAGCTCATTTTACTTGATTTTGTATGATATGATATTGATTTGGCTTCTTTGATGTGATTGAATTATCACTCCGTTACCAGTGAATCCGAGTTAAGCTCATGTTTTCTTATTTGCTCGGAGGGCGGTTAATTACCTGGCGGGATTATGGGTCTGAAAAGTTGGAGACCGCTTGCCACCCCGACTAGCTTCTTTAAACATACCTTTCATGACTTTGGGTTCCTAAGCAAGTGCGGTATTTTAATTTTATTAAGCCTTAGGCATACCCGAGCTCTCGAACGTGGAAATGTGTTCTGTGGAAAATCGTTCAGAATGTTTTGACGTCCTGTGACGGGATACTTGATGGTCTTATGAACATATCTGAGGCAGTGGGTTGCCATGGAAGCTTTATACAATCTGAACACCGCGCAACTCGTTGACTAAGTCGCTGAACTATTTCCTTATCCCGAAGTGCACGACAGCGCTTCTTAACACGCGCCCGGGTGGCCGGTTGGTTACCCTTCGCTCGGGTAGGGGATCAATTTGACCCCTCTGAGATCTCAGGAACTAAGAGAGATGGGGACACCAAATTCACAGGGTATAAAGCAAAAAAGTTTGAGATTCCTAAGCCATGACCTTCGGGTTTAATAAGGTTAAACAAGGCCAAATTCCAGGTTGGTCTCTAAAGGGTCCCTAGAAACTAGACGACTGCTCCAACCAAAACGACACACTCACTTGAGGTCAGTACCTTGTTTGACCCTTTTGAAGGTCATGGCGACCAAAATCATACAAGACTGCTTTGAGTTTTGCACTTGAATAAGCTACAAAGACAACGCTAGGCAGTATGTTCCCAAAAACAAAATGTTGACCTGTGTCATTTCAGATCAATGAACTATACTGACCTTTTAAAAGTTCATGGAAGGTGTATAACGCGGTCCCTGTTATCAATAATTCGAAATGGGTACCAGAAGCTACCTCATACAGCAAGCCGTAAAGTAATAACACAGGTTAGTTTTGACCTTGGTCTGACCTTCATATCTGACCCTAGGTCAATGTAATTTTTTTCATTCAATTGTGTGTTGCCTAACAAAGTATCTCAGGGATGCATGACTTTGTCTAACACTCATTTGTTGGATAAGATTGAGCGATTTCCTAAAAATTGCCTTCGCTGAAACCATTGCCTGACTAGCCTGCCATAGGTCAGTGACCTTACAAGGACTTCTCAATTTTTGATGCCAGACGATCCGCTATTCAATTTTCTACAGCTATGCAAAATTTGGCGCGGTGTAACCGCGCCGTTCGGAAACCGTTTCGGAAAACCTTGAGGGGGTCAATTTGACCTTTGATCCGGCGCGTGTTAAGGCCTGTCGTAAACGACAACACGATTCTCTTTAACCCCGAAGCCTGTGCAAAAGTTTAAGGCTGTTGATACGATGGGAACGGCAGTGCGAGACATGAAGACAACCTTGATGCTAATGATGTAATCGTTTGATCCGGCCTATTACACGAAAATTGCACGCCTTGTAACCAAACCAATTATTCCGACGAAATAGTGGGCGTGGAGGCGAAGCGCTCGGATGCGGCGAAATTTAAGAGGTACAGGCATCGACCTACCATACCTGATGCACCGTTAATAGCCTCCTAATCTCCTCTATATCAGGTCCGGGGTTTTTCAAGAATGTGGCAACAATTGCATGCGCTGATGATTTCCGTCATGTCAAGCTCACCCAACCTTAAATAGAATTAACTTTATTTTGAATTATTTGAAGAAAGTGACTCTATTTCTCGCCACGAAATCCATTGAAAGTTAGAGGCCATGGCGTAGCAAGGCGTGAAGAAAATGCGGGTTTTCATCAGTCAGGGTACCCCACATATAACAGAAATCCCTGTGTGAAGGTCAGTTCAGATACTTGGCGCCAGAAGTCTTCAACTTCATTTCTCGAAAAGACGAAAATATTTTCCTTTAACAAAACAGCGTGGTCATGTGTTTACCATACAGATTATGTTTTGTATGACAAAGGGCACCCGTTTATGAAAATACACAGGTTTTTTGCATCATAATGGAGATGGTACAAATTGCCACAAGGAATTTTACCTCCCCACAAGAGCACCATCTTTTTTCGCCGGTGTCACTTTAAGTGACCCGTTGTCCATTGGCGAACTGGCGCGTTATTTTCTAAGCTGGTAATGCATGACTTACGGTAGGTCGCTTTAATATAGATGGTGCTCCAATTACGTCGTGTTTTTTTTCACGAAATTGGAGGACGGAAAGGGTTCCCGAATATGGAGGCTGCAAGGCGCGTTCACATTTCGTCGGTACCGAAAGTGGTGTCTGATAAGTGGTCCGACACCTCAGGAGACCCATTTTCGAAAACAGTGTTACATTCACGTGTCTATTTCCGCTGCATGCCGCAAAGACGTCCTTTTAAGGCGGATCGGCTGATCGCACACCACCGATGTCATTCGATATTTCCACCCTCTGTTTCCGTTTTTGGGAGAAATCTCGCACCGTTCCCTTTAAACATCGCAGGAACGCATCTAGGGAAGGAGCGCCAACCTTTAACCATGTTTTCTTTTGTGATCCCCGTGTGTTCCCCGTCTATGCGTGGTGAGTGCCCATTACTCCATCACGAGTTCTGCTGAAGGCCACTGAAGCGTCATGCTAAGGAAGGGGAGGCTCCCTAGCGAGATAAGCTCATGGTGCCTGTTTCCATCCCCTTTCCCCCATCCCTGGGTATTTTTCTGTATATCCGCCCCTCTTGTGCTAGTGTACGGGTGGAATAGACGCCAATATGTTTTTTTTGGCAGCGAGCTTGTATCTTTAACATGATGTAGATGCTGGCGCCACTACAGGTTCAAGGGAAAACAATGTGATTTCCCTACGCCTGTCGTCGCTGGTTCGCCACATCCCCATACCAATCAAAATGATGTTTGGCGCGGGCACAGGACCTGCTCGCTTCAATGAGCCCGTTCCATCTGAACGTATTGCGAGCTAAATGTTGGCAGAAATAAAGACCAGATCCCCTCGTCGAATTTCTGCGATTCCAAACAGGGTAAGACGTGTTGGCGTTACGTAAAACGTGGCTAGTGTTGCTCGTTACTGTAAGATCAAGGATGGGTTAGCCGAGTCCAAGCGCTATATTTGCGCCTAACCTAACTCATCGCCCACAGCGCCACAGCCGCCGACGCCCGTGAGCGGAAGCCACTGAAAGTAGTGAGTGAATGGACGACCAAGAGATGGCGTGTGGAGGTCAACGCTACGTACAGTTTGGCCCTCTTGACTGATGCTGTTTACGTCACACTGCTCGCCCGAATAAAGCTCGAAATACGTGAGTATCCATGTTTTCAAGCGCTGATGCCTATGAGCGCCAGCGTCACATCATTTCATGAATTGTTCCATAATTATTATTTACGCCTTTGCGGCTAGGAATGTGCTTGACTCCTCTAAATCTTAGGTGACTTCGAGTATTTAAGAAACTCAGTGTATGGGCTGATAGTATCTGAAAATCGCGGTCATCACTGATCCTGACCCCAGAACTTCAGTCAGGAATAATATTTGCTTATCATGCAGATCACAGCGTCGACCAGGTCGCATTTCGTGGGCCGGCTTGTGACAGGACTGGCAGTTCAACCAACTAAAACTAACTTCTGACGCTTTCTGGTTGTTACCGTTCTTATCGATTCAAACCAGCATACTTGGCAAAAGGTCAGACAGCCGTGATATTCCTTTCATATACATGATGTATGTGGTGCATCACCCATAATTGGCGCTCGAAGTAGCATTTAAACTGCTGCTTTACATCATGTCAAGCTCTGCGTTCGCCATTGCTTTCGATGTCTTTTGTTCGTTTTTTGGTTTTTCTGATAGAACCAGCTGTGACATGTTACCACTAAGATGAATGGATGCATTACTCAGCAAGCGATACACGCACGCACGCATGCGTGCACGAATGCACGCAAACACACACACACACACACGCACGCATGCATGCATGCATGCACGCACGCACGCACGCACGCACGCACGCACACACGCACGCACGCACGCACACACACACATTATATATATATATATATATATATATATATATATATATATATATATATATATATATATATATAATGCATGGTCAGCGCAAAAACTTCAAATCAAAAACCGTTGACCTCCAGGGTCCCCGAAGCATCACTCTAAGCTTTCTTCCTTTTTCACCGTTTGTTTACGATTCTCTGTGCGTCATTGAATTCTTTTTTATTGAATTTTTCATGATTTATTTACGATCCTTCGTGCGTCATTAAATCCGGCTGCCTTCTGCATGCCGTTGATGTGAAGCTTTTCCACCAAATGACCTCCCCAGCTGACGGCCTGCTGCTGCAGAATGTATCGATCGACTGGCAGCGTGGTTGGTTAGGTGGTGGCTGACCCCCAGCCCTGTAAAATGTAAAACGTTCACGATCACCTTCAGGCGTGCTCCCGTCCAAACCAAGTATTCTAGCGACAGAATTGAGCTTGAAAATGCGTGTAAATTTTATGAAAGATTTGTTTAGATTGGGTTAAATGGATTACGTAGATAACGATTACGACTAGACAGATTACGTAGATTACGTAGATGCAGATGTAGATAGATTAGATTAAAATTAGCGTAACGCTGGATACAAAAGTACCCTTTGCTTGTCATGTCTTTGACATTGTCAGTTGGGGCCATCGAGCACTTGGTCTCCTTACTCGGTCTTTCCATGTCGGTACGAGCAGGTCAAAATTCAGCCAAAATGCAGCGATGGCTGCGTATTTCGCAAACATGCGATCGGCTAAAAAATATCGTAGCCTGGTCTGGACGGAGCGGCCACTTCTCACGCAGTGTGGGTCGATTGAGTGCAGCACAAGTTTCTTGCTTGGTTACCTTCTCAACCATTCTTCATGCCTCGTCGTCCGCAGCCATCCAATGCCGTCATCCGCAGTTATCTCATGCCGCCATCAGCAGTGATCCGTGCCGTCATCCGTAGTGATCCCGTGACGTCATTTGCAATCATCCCATGCCGTCTTCCGCAGTCATCTCATGCCGTCATCCGCAGTCAGCCCGTGCCGCCATTAGCAGTCATCCCGTGTCGTCATCCGCAGACAACCCGTGACGTCATCTGCAGTTATCCCGTGACATCATCCGCAGTCATCCCGTGACGTCATCAGCAACGATTCGTGTCGTCATCCACACATCCATCCTTCAGTCAACTGTTTTTTGCCCATTGAAGCAGTTCAGAATACTCGGCAAACGTTGCAGTTGTGTTACGCGTAAACATCTGAATAAGCTACTCAAAGGGTTTGATATGGGATGTAGACCATCTTTACACATATTTGCAGACTGGCTTTTATTGCCCATCTCTGCAGCGTACCACAAACGCTCCCCTGCACGACTCTACCTCGGCAGTGAGCGACAGTGGCCCGCCGCAGTCCGGTGGCCCTAAAGGTGTAGTGTGAGTTGTTTGTTGCGTTTGTGTCATGACAAAAGTGGATTTAGAGCTCCTGATGGCCATTAAATGAAGGTGAGAGTGTTATGGTGGAGAGAAGATGCTGAATACAATATCAGGGCCTCAAAATAGCGTAAATCGACCTGACGTAAAATATTCAGCTGAGGTCATCTGACTGAGTAGCCTCGTTGGACCTTGGATAGGTCTCGCGGTCAGTGAAAAAGCCGAGCGATCCGTTTTTAGGTGCTGTGGTTCCAACTTGCCTCTTAAGTGTATTTCTGTCATCCAAAGGTAAAACCCTGCATGTTAATTTTTAGCCATGTTGCGTTTTTTCATGTCATCTGATTTTCTACTCATGCTGAGTTCGGCTATTCAAACAAACAGTTGAAATTTCTCAAGCTTTTAGCACTTCTTTTTAGCTAAAGGTTTCTGAAAATTTCAGCAATTTGTTTAAGCATCCGAATTCAGCATGACAAGACAAACCAGATGACATAAAAACGCACAATGGATAGAGATGAACGTATAGGGTTTTACCTTGGGACTGCGGGTTTGCTTTCCTGTGCATTTGCGACATTTGCGCTCGACTACCGCCAGCCTGCCAGGTCTGGTCAGGTGAGGTCAGGTTAGGTCGTCAGCTCAAGTCAGCTTGAAACTGTGTGGTGACGCAATGAGTGTCACTAACATCTGCGAACTAAGTCGTAACTGAATGGGTTGACCCATGCACGCGAAAACAAGCCAATAACAGTGAACAAGTCATGGGCATATTTGTGCTGCAACATGGCTATACATGAACAGCCACAATCATCCCGCGATTTCTTTCACGCACTTCATCAAAAATAAAATCGTGCACGTTAAGAACATGTCATGCGGCGGCAAGCAAGCAGTGCTACTGACGGGACCGTCTATATCGTCCAGTCTGGTGAGCAGCGCCTCGCGGGTGCCAGAGGCGGCAATGGTCGGCGGCAGGCGGCTCCAGGATGACGCCGCGTGATACGAAATATTGAGGCATTGAAATTTAGCGATGCCGGAAAGTACAAGAGCAAGGCCTGAATGTCTGAAAGTATGCATGTCGAATGTCTTGCTAATGAAAGAGCCCGAGGCTACAGAAACTAATCAGTGAATACATAATCTAAGTAGATCAATGCAACTATAACTTTTCGGGAGGCAGGGAACCGCCGGAGGTTCTATGAGACAATGTTTACAAATATCCTGGGAACTCCTGTTTCTGGAGTCTCCTAGTTCTCAGAAGTCGTTACTGCGTTATTCCCAGCCACAAGGTTGAAAGTTTAAGAATGATTTTATGCGTAATTGGTTCTGGAAGCCTTATTAACTAAGAGAATCATTTTTTAGACGGAGAAGCCTAAGGGAACAACAAAGGCCTCTCCATTCTCCCCGCCGAAGGGGCGCCGACCCGGCAAGGTCAGGGTCGGGGTCACTGAGCCCGCCCGGTGTGCTGCCGCCTTGGAAAAGGCGACGCGAGCATGTGGTTTCAAGGCAAAACTTTCCTCGCCGCTCAAAGGCGTGCTGCTTCATATGCGAACTCGAGGCCTTCATGGGAAATCGCACAAAACAAACCGCATTAGCGTACCCGTATATTTCAGAATAATGGAATCGAAATGATGGCATTCCAGCGTCAGCTATCACATGATGAAATCCTCGCGTCAGCTGTCACATGATGACATCCTCGCGTCAGCTGTCACATTTCTTGGTCCACACCGCAAACTGCCCCTGGCTGGTTGCTTAATTTGTATGGGTTCCGGACTTCACCATCCAACGCAACCATCAACTAAGCCGATGACATTTTTTCAACTCTACTTGTTAGGTCATTTCGCTGTGCTGACATTTCTCCAAACGGCCAGGAATGCCCCATAAGAATCCGCTTATGTCCATGCCGATCGATGTCTTTTAAAACACTCAGCTTAGAACTCCAGCAAGACTAAATCAAGATCTATGGGACCTGCGCACAAATACGCGCTGCGTAAGGTCCTGTTTTTTGTAAGGCTCTGTTTTGTGACCCGCTTATCGCAAAGCGAAAATGCACGAAGAGAAAATGCTTACAATACCACTAAATAACTGTGTAAACCATTTAATGTGATGCCCATGGTGCATCCTATCACAAAATGATGTGTGTTTTAGAGCACATGTTGTGACCAACACATTCGGGAAACGGGCACACCTTCGTAAATGTCGATTCGCGTCTGGTACACCTGGTCAACGGGGCAGACTTTCCGGGCGTAGCGCACTGATGCTCGTGTCTTATTGTACTGAGAGTTCAGCTTGCAGCCACACTTATCATCCCCATGCACTGGGTCCGCCGACGGTGCGCGGCGGGCTGAAGCGTCAGACCAGGCTGAATGTGCAGGGTGCACTAAACAGGGCCATCCGAGATTGACTGTTTAAGCCAGGCTGAATGTGCAGGGTGCACTAAACAGGGCTATCCGAGATTGACTGTTTAAACCAGGCTGAATGTGCAAGGTGCACTAAACAGGACCATCCGAGATTGACTGTTTAAGCCAGGCTGAATGTGCAGGGTGCACTGAACAGGGCTATCCGAGAGTGACTGTTTAAGCCAGGCTGAATGTACAGGGTGCGCTAAACAGGGCCATCCGAGATTGACTGTTTAAGCCAGGCTGAATGTGCAGGGTGCACTAAACAGGGCCATCCCAGATTGACTGTTTAAACCAGGCTGAATGTACGGGGTGCACCAAACAGGGACATCCGAGATTGACTGTTTAAACCGGGCTGAATGTGCAGGGTGCGCTAAACAGGGCCATCCGAGATTGACTGTTTAAACCAGGCTGAATGTGCAGGGTGCACTAAACAGGACTATCCGAAATTGACTGCTTAAACCGGCTGAATGTGCGGGGTGCGCTAAACAGGGCCATCCGAGATTGACTGCTTAAACCAGGCTGAATGTGCAGGGTGCACTAAACAGGGCCATCCCAGATTGACTGTTTAAGCCAGGCTGAATGTGTAGGGTGCACTTAACAGGGCCATCCGAGATTGACTGTTTAAACCAGGCTGAATGTGCAGGGTGCGGTAAACAGGGCCATCCGAGATTGACTGTTTAAACCAGGCTGAATGTGCAGGGTGCGCTAAACAGGGCCTTCCGAGATTGACTGTTTAAACCAGGCTGAATGTGCAGGGTGCGCTAAACAGGGCCATCCGAGATTGACTGTTTAAGCCAGGCTGAATGTACATGGTGCACTGAACAGGGCCATCCGAGATTGACTGTTTAAGCCAGGCTGAATGTGCAGGGTGCACTAAACAGGGCCATCCGAGATTGACTGCTTAAACCGGCTGAATGTGCGGGGTGCACTAAACAGGGCCATCCGAGATTGACTGTTTATACCAGGCTGAATGTGCGGGGTGCACTGAACAG